CACACACACACACACACACACACACACACACACACACACACACACACAGCCACACTTTTATACACTGTAATAAGAAATAAAAGTCTAACAGTATTGTATTTGGATTAGCAGTGTGGTGGACTCACCCTACCCTGTGCAGTAAACACTGTCTATGTACAGTAAATATCTGGTCTAATATATGGCGTTTCATTACAAACATCCACGAGCTGTTTTTGATATTATGTAGTAACATAAATACACATATGTTTGTGCTGATGAGCCCACGTTACAACTTGTATAAGGTTCTCTGTGTGTTATATATCCAAAAACCACTTGAGGTAATATTGTATGCAGTTTTTCATATTGTAATTTTGACATTGTATTAGCCCTTTCTCCTCGTCTTATATGTGTATGAAATAAATCTATGGATGACATCACCCTCAGTTTATTTTACAGTGCACCCTGTAGCCTTCAGACGTGGAGTTGAAAAAACTTAATTGGCACTTAGTAAGTTGTGTAACAACAGCTTACATCACTAATACTGCTTGAAACAGGATACACTATTTGACGTTGCTTATTTCAGGGTTGCATTAAGTGACTGCTTATTGTATCAAGTGACTTATTATTTAAACATTTGAATTGAAGTTTATGACTTGTGTTACAAAACAATGCACATCTTATTTCAGTTGGATAAAGCGACCAAATATAAGTATAATAACACTAAAAGGCCTCACAAAATTGTTCTATTACTGCTTTTTTTTATTATGGTCAGTAGTATAAGGGAATTTTTCTAGAAACTATGACGCACTTGCTGTTTTTGCAAAAATATGTAGGCAGATTTGTGTGTGGATGACTAAAACACTGAAATCCATTTTCTTGGTGACCTTAGTTTTGTGTATATATGCATATTTTCTGTAATTTTTTTAAATCACTTTGAATCCCTGTAATGTTTATCGAGTGGCTGTAAACTCAAAAATATATGTCTATGTGAGTGAATGCTTTTTGTAATCTTTAACCTACTGTTTACTCTTTGAACCTTAGTAATTGAATTCTTTTTCATCATGGTTTTTTGGGGAAGGTATGCATCTATGTGCTTTTTATTTTTCAAAGTGTGCTTTTAAAGTAATTTGAACCTACGTATCAACACAATGCTTGTTTTAACTTTAATGGAATGTAAAACCAAAAACATTTTAATTGATGCATTTCCACGTCGGAGTAAATTCGATAATAAGTCTGCTTACATTAGCGAGATAAAAGTGATAGAATAGTGGATGGATCTTTATTCTCTCATAGGTACTTAAGGCATGCTTAAACTTGACCTTCATAATGATTCAAATAAGTGAATGTGAATTCTAAGAATGTGAAGGACAGCTTTTCTGTTTTATGTGGCCTACCTGTACACAGTGGTTGGTGGGTAGTTGGCGATGTCGTAAATAAGACGTATGTGTCCCTGATAAAGCTCAATTGCCAGAGGATCATGGTCCTCCTTGTACAACAAAATACCGTTGTCTTTGTCTGTAGCCACCTGGAGAGAGAAAAACGTTGAACACAGAAACAGCCGTCAAAAATTACAGAATTTGATACACAGGCCACAGTTTGTCATATTTTTCATATTTCATTTAATTCAGTAATCATCTGGTAAAAGGTCATAGTGGCACATATAGAAGGAAATAGACCTGAATTGTTCATTTTTATTTAGATAAAAACAGGGCTTGTGTGCATATGACGCTATAATATCTGTGTGTATAACAACATATATAATAGCATCATGTGATGTTTCATTACATCATTTAAGCAAATCAACTTCAAGTTAGCTAGTAAGCTAACTTGCTAATTTAGCTAACTAGCTAAGATCATCTTAGCTATTTTAAACTTGTTTTACTCAAGTGATGTAAGTGAGGTTTTTTCTAGTAAAACAAAATTATGTCCCCTGTTCAACTATAAAACAGATTGCTCACTGCTCCCAAACGTACACAAACTTGAAAAATATTGACCTCCAGACCTCAGAAATGATCTACTCTGTGAAAAGCTAATACTTTGCTTCAGTTAAGATTGCTGATGCATATCTGACTCAATATTAAAGCAGGTTAAATGGGTGTCTGATTTACGATGGTTATTTTATACCATCAACTGTAAACCATTTAAAAAGAAAACAAATTCCACCACACTTGTCTCAGAAACACACTTGACATGTCACACTTGCTCGCGTGCTCCTTTAAGCGCTAACTAACTAGCAAGTGGAAATGGGGCCATGGGGCCAAGCACTTAACACTCTGGCGTCAATGGAGCATAGCCAAGTCAACACCTGCTAACAAGCTGCTGGAAAAAAGAGAAAGCCACGCAGGCCAAAAAGAGAAAAAGGGGGTAAGAGGTGTAAAGTACAAAGAGTGAGAGAGCAAGTGAAGTGGAAGAGGGAGGAAAGAAGAAGATGCATATATGTGGATGAACAGAGAATTTGGATGCAGCCTTAAAGAAAAGAAAAAAGTGAAAAAAGGAGAAGGAAAAAAGCATATAGTAATTTATGAAGTGCAGTGGCGCTTTCATTCTTCTATTTCTCTCTCTTACCACTGACTCAAGGCCTCTTGGTAGAGTTTTAATAGCCTTGGCCCTGACATTGAAAAGTCCTGGCAAGAACGCAAAAGCACACGCACACACATGCACAAGCGCAAGCCCCCATGGTTCCAAACAGGTGGTAAATATCAATTAAACCACCTTCCTCTTCCTGCTTCTCTTTCTCTGCCTACTTTATTTCTCATTTCAATAAAAAAGAAAATTATGTCTCCATTAGGACATGACTCTCAGGTGTCCAAAATGTGTGGTCTGTGTGAATGTGTATGTGTGCGTGGGCACGGTGCTCAGTGTGCCATGGAAACAGAGGGTGGAGCAGATGTTGGCTTTGCTTCATCTGCACTAACTCTATAAGCTTGACTAGAATGTCTCACAGCTCTATTTCAAGCGGCACGGAAATCTTTTAAGAGGAGTGCTACAGAATATAGCCTTTGCACTTTTGGGTTTATTTCAAAATAAAAGCTGACTGTTGGATTTGTAAACCTTGAAAAACAAAAATGAATGCACAGAGGTCAAAGGTTAACCCTACCTGTAACGAAATATGTGCAGTTGGGCGGAGTTTTGCAGCTGGCAGCTCCACATACCCATCACGACCCAGGAAGTGAACAGTGGCCATTTTGTCGCATTTGCTGCCATAGAAACCGGGCATGCAGCGGCAGATGGGCTCCCCAGCAACCACCAGGCACTGGGCGCCGTTTTGGCAATCGGATTGGTCGCAGGGGCTGGTCTGCAGCAAGATCATTGGTGGCGGGTTCTCACAGAAGAGCCCGCTGAGGCAGAAGTAGATTAAACAGAAGATAACTTATTTATAGAGCGTTAATTGGATGATTTGTTTATCTCTATTATGTGACAAAAGTTGTTTACTACTTGTTTTGTAATGTGTCTCTTTGAATTACACGAGGAGATTGCAGTGGCTAAAACAGAAAGCTAATAATCTTGAAATATTGAATCGGGGACCTTTCCTTCCAAACAGATTCAGTATATTTTCTTGTTTTCACCTGGATCATTCTGAATCTGTGAAACTTCCTATTTTTCCCGTACAGTCATTTTCTAATGGCTCTGTCTTCCCTTCCTTTCCTTTTCCTCTGCATATCCATGACTTTCTCTCTGTTTTCCCCCCTCAGCCACTGATGATGAATTTGTTTCTCTCTCGCCAACAGTCCCTGCTATAATTAACCACATGGTGCTGCATCTGCAGCACACACACACGCGCAAACACACAGATGCACGCAGTAGGTCGAAACAGTCAAGTCTCTGATTATGAAGTGCCATCTGTATCCCCTCCCAGTCTGGCCCTCCAGTCTTTCACTGTGTTTGTGTCTGATTTGTTTCCATGACTCTCACCTGAAACCCTCTTTACAGACGCAGGTATAGCCATTGACGGCGTCCACACACTCCGCTCCGTGCTGACACTTGTTCTCCAGACAGTCATTATAGTCCTGCTCGCAGTGCTGGCCCACGTAGCCTGGTAAACACTCACACCTTGAGTGACATGGAAATAAGGATAGAATTACACAGTGTGTGGGCAACAGACTTTTCCTCTTGCCTACAGGTGTTTTACTGCATGAAGAGGTGACATGTTTGGTTCGTTTCTACAGCTCAGTCAGTAACAGAGCTCTACTTTTATACCACATTTTCCCATTTCTCATGGATAAGTGTGGGAAATGTTTGTGTAAAAATATTTTTATATCAGTTCCACATTTGTAAAACATTATCCACACAGTAATGAGGAACAAACAGAATCGGCATTAAGTGAACACTTTTTAATGATCTTAACTCACTAATTAATTTAGATACCTATGAAATTATTATAGATCAATGTGAAAGGATTCTGCAAGAAACATTAATTTAGGCTATTAAACAAACCTTTTCAACATGGAAGCCTTTAATCTGATAGCATAATAATTCATTGTTTATAATTTATAAAAAGATTGATTTTAGGTTTATACTGTATAAAAGGTTTAAACACACAAACGTTCAGTGTAATATAACATTTTCCCCTAAAAATGCTTTCACTTGTATCACAAAAAGCTAGCTTTAACATGGTGAGCTCGCTGTCACTTTCACACAGTGTTTTTCAAGGATCCCCCAAATGTAACTGTTGCCCACCTGTAACCGCGGCCAACACGAAGGCACTTGGAGTCATGCTGACAGGGGTCAAAACCAGGGAGACAAGGGTCAGTAACCTCGTCACACAGGTCACCTGATGAAAAAGAAAACATTTGCTGTCAGCAATTTAGAAACTGTGAGGCTTAATCATATTTTAGGCTTATGTTTTACGCCTGCTGCATCATCACTGAATGATCTGAATAAATATTTTCAGAATTTATGTGGGGGAAAAACTGTGAAGGTAAACAGAAAAATAACACTTCAGAAGAAAGATGGGAGTAGGGGGGCACACTAAACTTTTCACACATACTCTCTGTAATCTTCAAATAGCAGTAGGGGGAAAAAGCATCCTGGTCAAGGCTTTAGATGTGCTGTGGATGTCCTCACGCACAAAGGGAATAGCGCTATCAGCATTTTCTCAGACCTGACGGAGAAGGGGGTTAATGCTCTCTGTAAAAGTGGAGGCGGCCTAAAGATGTACACACACATACACATGCTGAAAGGGTGAGAAGGGTTAACAGTGTGTTTAAAAGCAGTAGTTGAAGTTAGTAGTAGGAAGGAAGCGGGTATTGAGAAAGGTCAAGCACATTTCCATCATTCTCTGCCTGCTTTCATCTAATCCTGCTGCCTTCCCGCCCTGTCTGTCTCCAATACCCTCGCCTCAAATCACTTTTAGGCACAGGTTTTTTGAGCTACAGTACACCGCAATTTCTGAAAGGATGTTTGACTTGTAAAAAAAAAGAAAGAAAAAAAAAGCATGCTGTGAAAGTAAATTTTAATTATTCAGTCTTTGAGCTCCCTAAGCAGACTATTTCACACTTCAGGCACTTTGTTAAAGATGCCAAAATTAATTTATCAATGTGGAATTACCTGAAATACCTTAGAATAATTATCATATGCAAATGAAACTGTGCTACAGAAAAAGATGTTAGGCATGATTTACCTGATTTAAAATCATTTTACACAATAATATGATCATATGAGAATTGTGGGAGATTTTAACAGATATAAAGACACAAACTGTTGACACTACATCCATGCAGCTTGGTTTATCTTCCGCCAAGGAGGGTAATGAAGTGAAGGTATGTGATCTTTGTGCTTTAGTGCTGCTTATTTCAGGAACAAGGCATCAGAGGTGGAAAACTGGGGACATGCAGAGTTCCAGAGCAACATATCTGGACATTGTTGCGAATTTTCGAAAACACTGATTATCTTGTTGCCTTTTTCACACCAAATTATTTAATACTTTCTGAATTGCAGTTTTTTTTTATTTCACAAGGGATTAATTCTATTTTCTTGTGACCTCCTGACCTTTCCTCCATCATCTGTCTAAAATGGATTTTTTACCATAATCAAAATGCTACTGTGACATTTAAATTGTTGAGCACGTTAAAGAAACCTTAAATCAGCTGTTTCAAAGGTCTTATGACATTAAATCTGGATTTTTCTCTCTGTGTTGCAAATATGACGTGACAGTCCTGGTTGCTGAGTTTGGAGAAAGGAGAGTGACTAGCAAAGTACTGTCCTCTTAATGTGACACCTGATGATTGCGCTGCGGTTCACTGAGCTAAGTGGGGAGTTCGGTGCCAGAGGAACCAGCTGTGCGCATGAACGTGTGTGTTTGTGTGCAACAGCTGTATGTGGTAAGGTGGCTGGCAGTGTGCAAGGACTCTGAGAGCCAACAACGATAATGACATGGTGTGTGTGCTGCTGAGTGTGTATTGACTGAGGTTCAGTGTTAAAGGGGACCTCGTGTTTGTGTGTGTGCGTACGTGTGTGTGTCTTAGAGGACACTGTTACACACAGAAAAACTTAAATTCAGAGTCAGCAGTTTAGCTTCAGCGTGCCGGACTCTGCCAGGGCAGCTCTCGCTCCTCTCAGCCTTTGCCCTTTATCGGCAATTTCTTTACCCTTTCCGTTGCTCTGTTTATTTTTCCCCTTCCCTCTAGTACACAGTCAATCTTTGCCATTTCACTCTCATTCTCCTTCTGTCTCCCTCTCATGTGATTGCTCTTTAAACCTCCTGCAGGAACAGTTTCAGGTCACTGCAGAGAGCCTGTCAATTACTAACTTACCATCCAGTAAACTGGAAAATATGATTTTGTAAGTGTGGGACTTGGTGACCCTGCCAGCCTCTCAGGGGCAAAGACTGAGGGTGCATTATTGAAAGTTTTTGTGTGTTTGTGTGGGTGTGTACCTGTGTAGTTTGGAGGACAGACGCAGGTGTAGTTGTTGATCCCATCAATGCAGGTGGAGTTGTTCTCACAGTCGTTGTCTTCGCAGTCATCTGGGTTTATCTCACAATGTTGGCCCTCAAAACCTGGCGGACACGCACAGCTACACATGCAAAAACACGAAAAATGTGTATTATTACCTAGCAACTGGGCGAGATCTGAGAACTCATCATCAGCTCCTCTTAAATTCTCCTGTGAGAGAAGTTTAAAGAAGAACTATTGAATCTGCAGTTAATATTCTTACATCCTTTTCATTTAGAGACTCCACTTCATGTCTCATTAAATTCCAACAAGTTGCAGCTATTCCTGCAGCACACATACTTCCTGTTAATCTATTTTCTGCGATAAAGATTAGGGAGAATCAATCCTCCCTTTCAAACACAGCCTTTTGATTTATGTCATCTCTCTTTCCTGATGGGAGATGTTTTATTAATAAATATCAGTCAAAATTCCTCAGGCTTCTACTGAGGTGAAAGAAAAAAACTTTAAAAGAAAACACCCACCTCCAGCTAAAAGGAAGAAAAAAACAAAAGAGAACAAAAAATGCTGAGATACGCTTAGTTTGATGCCACTACGGTTGGACGCCGCCCACCTGGACCACTCAAAGGGAAGTATCAAAGCTTCCTCCTCTCCTCCACTTCTTTCCCTCACCCACCTCTTTTCTCGTCAGCCCTTGATCTCTTCCCCCTTTTCACCCTTTGTATCTCAGTCAGGATAACTCCTTCAAACAGATCACAAACACGCACACTACCTTTAGGTGAAGATCACTCACCCACACACAAACACTCTAAGTCTAATAAATCCAACCGCAGCTGCCTTTGACAACTCGCCCTCTCTCTCACGACTCTCTGTTCTTCTGTTCATCTAGACATGATTGATTTAAATTACTTTTATTGGGAAAAACTGAATTTTACATTAAGTTCACCCAATAAATGAAGCAAGAGGATAGCTGCTTGTCAGTGACAATTATCAACCCACACAAACCCATTCACTCGTTTTTGTGGCACAATGCTTTGTCCTTCCCACTTTTTTGTACATACAAAATGTGTTTAGTTCTTTCTCACCGCTTTCATTTCGCAACAAGTGAAATGAAAGCTTTGGTACCTACAGTAAGGAATTTTTTCCCATGTATCTCACAATACTCACTGGTTACCACCTCCCTATCTGTTTTCCAGTTTAGAAAACCTGCACTTAAGCCTTCACTCAAAATGACATAAAATAAATTTATATTCTAAGATATAATGAGCCGATTATTGCAAGTTGTTCAGGCTAAAATATTCAGAAAAATGTGGGATACTTAAGCAGCAGAGACAAAGGGACCACTCCCAATCCAGATGACTTAATGAAGCAGAAGAAGAGAAAATAAAGGAAAAATAAAAGGAGTGATGAAGTAAAAAGAAAGGAAGAAGATATTAACTGTTCCCCATGAGAAAAAAAAAGAAATAAAAATGCAGAAACCACTGACTGGGTCAAGGATCACCGTTTCACCAATCAAATCCAAGTCCTGACATTTAAATTATATAGTTTGACAAATGGAGCTGTGCTAAGAACCAAAGTTAATTGGACTTCCTGAATATGCGTAACTGATTATATAACATGTTAAAATGTCAAAGGGGCATGGTCTCCTTCCCTTACTGTCTTTCTCCCTTTATTTCTGTCTCTCTCAGAGGTCACAGGGATGTACCTGTGTTTCTTTACCATTAAGGAATCATCTGAAAAGGGTAAAGAGACCCCTAATAGCATTACCACACAAGCCTTTAAAGGCCAGAAGCATATCAGAGCTTTTCAAAGGGCAAAGGGCTTGTTACTGGGGTTGAGAAGGAGACAAATCTGGTAGAAAGATATATGACAATTGTTGCAATTACAGCCGCTGTTTGTCACAAGACTTGGACAAAGGACGACGTTTTGGAGCGGCACTGATTACCCGGGCAGGCACGGCCGAGGATTCTCACACACACACAGATTGCATTTGTTCTACCATGGGCGGTTATTAAGCAGGAAAATTGAATTTATATTCTAAAATATAACAAATCCAACTAGCAAGTCTCAAAGACTTCTTAAGTGAAATATAGTGTATTTGATGCGGTTTGATTCAATTTAATGGTGAAAGGGCCGTTTTGCTTAAAATGAACCACATTAAAAAGTCGTACCGCAAAGGGTCTGTTTTTAATTAGTCCCATTTCTAAACAATTGTTGGCCGTTTGATTACTTTTGGTCTGCGGCTTGTGCCATAATTTTCAGCACTAAGCAACTCTGGCCTTAGTTTTTTAGTCCAAATAGGATTAAGATTATAGGGGACATGGAAGGCTTAAGGAAACAGTTCTCAATGTTTTAGGTCGTAGCAATTTAGTATGCTTAAACAATTCTTTCAATATTTCAAGTTGCGTGCAAAAGTCCAGGAGTAAAACATTTGCTTTGAGTGTTATCCACCCATTAAATGAACATTATCCACTGCAGTTAGATATGTCTAGCAGGTGCCCTCTTGTAGCCATCTGTGGGTCAGAAGGTGTATTATCATTTATCTAATTATTGCTAAAGGCAGAGAGATTATATAGGGCATCTTTGGGTCAAGTAAAAAGTCCACTGGACTCTCTACCCTGGTAGGTTAGCAAGTACAGCTTTCTAACATGCAATACCTTTCAACCAAAAAAGTAACCATATTTCTTTCCTAACACTAACCAAGCAGTTATTTGGTATGTAAACTAAACCAATCAGCAAGCAGTTGTTTGGCTTAGTAAAAGTCTAGTCTCCTGGGTAAAAACTTAATTTACTTCATATGTTGAAAAACTCATCATCTATGTTTTCCTAGCATAACAACAACCACTAAATGAGGTGATAACAGCCTGTTGAACATACTAGTTGGCAGAGATGCGATCGCATATTCAAAAAAACCCCCAAGAAGATCAGGTGAGGATAATACCCTATATTATCAGAATCAAAATCAGAATAGTAATTAATCCCAGAGGAAATCATGTGGTCACATACACACAATGATGGCAACAGACACCCTTCTTTATGATCTGTTTCTCACTGCTGGAAGTACTCTGTTTGGTTTAGGCTTATGCTGCTCGAACTGAGGGTGCAGAAGGCAGCACAGCTAATACACATTTGCTTGCTGTGAATTCTCTGGACAATTACCTGTGCTATTCTCCTACGCATGTAATCAGAAATTATACAGACTTTCTACTAGAGAGTTAGTGGGTTAAAAACCCTTTGACATTACACATTTGCGTTCTCACCTAACCTGCACCTCAGCTGCACCGCATGTGCAAAAACAGGTTGCAATTCTGAATGTGTAGGGAAAAGATGGGTGGGAAAGTGAATGGGTGATGCACAATGTTATTTTCCCTAAAGCACTGCCAATGAAAGGCTCTTGACCACTGGAGTTGCACTGCAGCTAGGATTCACACACTATGATTGTGTTGGGCAGCTCCTGAGTCTGAATATGTGAAAGCGTATGAATGTAAAATAGGAAGGTTCCTGAAAATGAAGTAGCATGTTCAGCATGCTTTGAGAAAGTGAAAACATGAATATAAGGATCAGATAAATAATGGATAACCTCCTTGAATTATCCATTCCTCCATTTTCTTAACTATTCATACAATTTAGGGTCGTAGGGTCATGGGGTGAGAGACACAGTACAACTGGATAGAATCTAAAGTATCAAAAGTGGCGTCAGTGTCTTGGTCAAACATGAAAAAACACATTTTCAAAACCATCCCTGGTTTAACACCAAATTCTTCCATAGCCTCATTGATTTTTAGTGCAAAACCTGCCAGCTACACAAGGGTTTGAAAGCAAAACTAGAGCTGCACTGGTGTAGTCAAAGTACTAAAGCTGTCTTAATTAAATCTTACTTAAATGCAGATAAACTCTGCATTCTCCTAGTGCATTCTCCTAGTGGTTCATTAGCGGTTGCTCGAAGTTGACGACAGTCACAAGGGGAAATTGGTGCTGCACCTCCTTACAATTTGGTTGCGAATCGTTTACAGTGGCGGTATAAAAGATACCCCCTTGTCTGCAAGTTCGTCAGCCAGCAGACCCCAGAACCCAGTCATAATTTTGAGACTAACAACTGGTACCACTGACAAAACTTCCACATAGCATAACACTTAATAACAAACACCGTTGTACCTGAAGTGGTCTTCATGGCCAGGATGAATGTGGCAGGTTCCTCCATTAGAACAAGGAAAGCTAATGCAGGCATTGATTGGTATTTCACAGTCTTGACCCTAAAGGAGAGGAGAGGACAAGGCATGGCAAAGCAGTTAACAACTGAATATTGTGTCTTCTGTTACTACTGGAATAAGTGAAGCTGTCATCAAACTTCTTCACTAGTGACATACTTTTACTGTCCGGCACATTACAGTTAAGTGTTCTTCATTTTATTTAAATGTATTTAAATTGACCACTTGGGAAAAGACAAATGTATGTAACTATGTGTATATATTTATATATACATTATATCTAAATATGTAGTTCCACTGATGAAGTTCTTTTTACTATTTATGTTGTGCTCTTGTAGTTTTTCTTTTAAGGACAACATATTTTTAAGGTGTAGTAAAAAAAAAACACAAATGTAGTGGACATATTCATAAAACATGTCTACTCCTTTGATTCATTACTTTTCCTGGTAAGAAGTTTCATTCATCAGAGTCCTATAAATGGCATGAAATCACGTATCATCAGCTTCCTTTCGCTGAGCATGCAGTCTTAACTCCACACCAACAAACCTCTGTCAGCCAATATACCCACTTGTTCTGATCAAAGCGCTTTATTTTTGTTTTTAATCTAAACCCATCTTTTTATTTCCTTTTCTATTTTATTCTTTACTTTAGAACTTCATGTTGTGTTCACAGCCTCCTTCATTCATTTCTCAACATATTTCGCACTGTTCCTTTATACTATGTGTTCTCTCCATTTCTCCCACAACACCTTACCTATGACATTTCTTGTTCTTTTCTTTAACTCACACCTCTATCATCCCATCTTCTGTACTTAATTGTTGTTTATTCCTCATGTCTTCCCTTCTTATTCTCACTCCTCATGTTCCTAGTTGCTTCTTTGAGTCTTCACACATTTTAATTAATGTTGTCCCAGTGGATGCCAGTAAGAAAAACATACACATAGACATGTACATACACAGACACAAACATACACAGGCATGCACACTCCAGCAGTCCTTCCCACACTGTGACCTTGGCAAATGATGTGTTAATTAAAAGCAAGACCAAGGCTTTCTCCTGTAAAAGCGCAAAGGTTATGCAGCATGTGTTCTTGTAAAACCTAAAGTCCTTGCACAGATACTCACGTGCACATATACATGCAGTCTATTCTTTAGAAGCTGGAGCTCAAGGATCTCTAAATACAGATACGCAAATAAGGGGTATGCCGATGAGTACAATGAGAACAGTCTCAGTCACCATTAGTTCTACTTTGGATCCTCCGTTCATGCTACAGGATGAAAGCAACCCCTACATTTAAAATCAGTGTCATAAACAACTATTTATGACTTTCTTTTTTTGCAATGTACAGTAAGACACCACTGATATGCACATGCTCGCCTATGCAAACTGCACTGAGTAGAAGATGTGCATGTCTTTTCTAATGCGAACTATGAATATTGACAGCTATTACACCCTTTATCTTTTGATCATTCAGTACCTACAGTGCAGTCAGCTTCACTCCTCATTTCTCTATTGATAGACAAGTAGATACATTATGCATACAAGGCCAGAGCTAAGCCTGATAATACTCCTAATGCCAGAGGATTATGCAGCCTGGCTAGTCATCTAGGACACCTTTCAAAAAAGCAACTATTTCTAGAAGAAGTGAAAATTTTGCTGCGTGATGCACTCTATAATTCAGAAGAGTTGAAATAAAAAGGAACCACTAAATAGTACGCAGTTACAAGGCTGTAGGCGCGGGAATAACACGGCACCAGAGGTTCAAGGACTGATTTCGACTGCCTCCATATCAACTGAAAAAATTTTCACTTTTGATAAATCACTTTGTAAATACTTCCAAAAACACCAGCAAGTATGGCAAGCCTGATAACAACCAAGCATTATGACTGCAATAAATCAATATAACATTTTTATGAGACCATGATGGAGTGCAAGTTTAATCAAACTTATAAATTAAAGTACACACTGACCAAAAAAGGAAAATGTATATTCTAGTGGCTATATTATAGTTTCAGATGTGGACCAAGAAAACAAGTTTTAGAAGCGAAACATATTATCTCTGACAGCCACCTTCAGTGCGTCTCTGTCTGCTGATATTCTTACCTTGAATCCATACGGACAGGTGCAGTGGTAAGATCCTGCGGCATTGGAGACACAGGTACCATTATTTTGGCAGGGAGCTGAAAGGCAGGGGGCGCACTTTGACATCAGGTTGATATCCACTGGACCTACAAATGATAACAGACGTGGGAGAAAGCAGAAAGAAGAAGGAAAAGTGTCAGAGATGTGCACAAGAGCACGTGTGATCTCTCTCAAACTCAAGCTACGTAGAGGCAAGAAGTAGAGTAAGATGGGATCATTTTTAGTTCATGACATGATGCATCTTTATGCAGCTCTAGGTTTGCTCATGGAGTCCCAGCCCACTTTATAAACTCACAAACATAGTAAACAATGGTCATGTAATGCAGCTTCATTCTTTTTAGCAGATTACACTTTTCATGATATTTCTTTTATCTGTGTAAGAAGTCTGCTTCACAGTTCCTTTTGTCATGGTCTGGGTGTGTGGCTGTAAAATTCCCTGGTATCCACCCATGGGCAGGGCCTACAGCCTCCCTCAGCTGAAGCTGATTGAGGCAATTAAGCTGCTTGCTGACACTGCTTCCTTGCCAGTTCGTCAACTACCCTATGTTGGTAACCAGGCCTCACGCTTCATGTTCATGAATCTCACGTGCTCTACTAAACTTGTAATCTCGTGTTCTAGTTACTCCAGGAACACTCCATCACACCGAACCACTCATCTTGGAAATCTGGTTAACCCGCCAGCTCTCGGACTCATCTCCTTGCCTCACCTGCCTGCCCTCCTGCCCTTACACCACCTCGGGACCTTCACCACTCAGGACAGCTGCCACACACCACCTAACCCACCTGGACCGCACCACCTCTCCCTCAACGCTTCCATCTCCCACCTGCACATACATACCTATTCACCAGCAGCTGCCGTTGCTTTCTTGGACCTGTCCCCTTGCTTATCCCTCTCCCCTGGCCAAGAGCCTCACGCCCCATATATCAAGCCTTAAATCAAGAACTAACGTGAACGTCATTTTGGTGTTAGTTAATAAACCTTTGTTAAACCCTTGACTCTGCCTCCGCCTTGGGTTTCCTGCACGTGGGTTTGATTTTTGGTGCTCAGCCTCCGGCCATTTTGTGACCCTTTCCCGTCTGGTCTGATAGCAGAGAAGCCCTTGATGAGGTGATGTTAGAGGTCTGCTGATTCTATATGAGTTTACAGAATCCAGCCAAGAGGTAGAGGGGATTTATTTTATACATTTATATCTATGGTCAATCCTCTAATATAGCATGATGTATTACTGGCTGAGCTGATCCAACAGGCTAAAGGCTTGAGTGTCTGGCAACTCAAAATGGATCAGTCAAACGAATATGTTTGGGCTTTAAGCCACTACTCTTACCACCCAGCTAACAGGGGGAAAAAAACAGCCTCAGCAGCCTAAACAAATAATCTGCATTTCATATAAGCTTGTCGATTTTTGACCATGAGCTGCCATTCTCATCTAAAGCTGTGAAACTCAATCTAAGGCAAGGCTTAAGTCATGTTTTCTCCCAAATGGCCTAAAACTAAAACTCAGTAGTTTTAATGGGAAGAAAGTAAACTGCAAACAAAAGCTACAATGAAATAAACACACTTGAGTCTGTAAATATAATAACAGCCCAATCTAGTCTAAATCCAGGGATTACATGAGTGGTAAAACAATATATTGCACTTAGTACTATGAAAATATGTGTACTTACCTTTGCACTGAAATCTGTTTAATGGTGTGGTGAGCAGCAGTCTGTCAGCCATGTCAGGAGGTCCAGTACAGCGAGCAATGCCTTAAATACCAATTTTAAGTCAAAAGATATTCAGTATTTTTCTTATATGCAGCATTAGATGTTGGTGGACACAAGTTTTTGGTTGAACAAATGCGAGCATATTAACTGTGATTTCTTACCAGGCTCTTTAAAGCCAGCCTTGACCCACTGAGAGAGCCAGCGCAGATCACAGTTACAGTACAATGGGTTGGCACCAAGAGCCCTAAACAAAGTTAAAAGCATAAACCAATACACATTTACTCTGTGGATACACATATGTAGAAGTGCAGATGCAGTACAGACCAAAGCTGTACTTACAGGTGGGAAAGAGAGCTGAGGTGGTTGAAAGCTCCCTCCGGAATAGTTGAAAGGTCATTACCATGAAGAGTCCTGGAGGAGAGGAGCAGAGAGCAAAACAAGAGCATATAAATATTAATCATACCAGCGACCTTGTTACGCATTTAAAAAGGAACATTTTGACCCACTGTTACTGTTATTCTGTAGTTAATTAATTTAATTAGGTACTCTGTGTTTCTTAATCATTCTTTTGTAGCAAGGGAGGAAAAGTGAAAGAGCTTTTGACCTCGGTCCACTGTTACGTCCTTATCCACTTGCACCACAACATGATTTTGTGAGTACTGCTTCAGTAAATGCTTTTGTTTTTAGTTGGTCTCCCTTCATATGGTACAATTTCAAGAGGTCATACACAGTAGAGAGCCTTTGTGAGGCGTGGTGATCTAACTCTGTAGATAACCTCAGGACCTTTGCTGGGGTCTCTTATATTTTCCTATTTTGGTGCCTTGAGACAACTATATATGATAATTGGCTCACTGTACAATTTGTTAGGTACAACAACTACCTGTTAAATCAAATATTTAGCATCAAACATCAGCCAAAACCATGGCAGCAACTCAGTGCATTTAGGCTTGCTGACATGGCCAAGGAAACCCGCCGACAATCAATCCAAATATTAGAATTAGAAGAAGATTTGTGGAGCCAGGGATCAAACCACTGACCTTTTGACTAGTAGATAAACTAGTAGGGTGTAATAGTAGCGGTTAATTTCTTGGCACACTTTGCTCCTCTTACTAATTGAGCAAAACCCAAACAAGGTGTACCGAACATAGTGCCCACTGAGTGTGCATACACTATACACAGCTATTAGTTTTAACCTTGTGGTTTAATAATTAGATTTGTATCTTAAATGTGCAGCTAAGGTTTAACCATAGCTGGCAAGGGGCTATTGACCAATGTTAAAAAGGATTATATCCAAGGAAAACCTATTGCGTCACATCCATCATATCAGAGCTAAATGAAAGTGACTGCCCAGTTGCCCAGTAGCTAATACACCAGTCTAACCCTTATAGCTGCATGCTAAATTATTCAAATTTATTTGTGGTTCCTCAGTAGCAGACACACCATCATACCCTTCTATAATGGAAAATAAATAAAATATTTATGAAAGAATAACACAAAATAAACAGAAAGCCTTTTTTCATTGTTGTGCAATAAAGCTTGTTCGAGTCTCTGAATGGAATATAAACTGTCTCATACGGTCATCTCGCAGACGGTGGTGTGCGAGCGATCATGTGTGTCACAGTAGAAAACTGCAGGTCGAGAAGCGTATTAGTGTTGATGTGTGCATTTTTGTTATGTACCACTGGGTTTGCATGTATGTGTTCGTGTCTGTAGATGTGTGTCTGAAACTTTTTGTCTCTGAGGGCTTAGAGACTTCAGAGTGTGCGTGTGTGTGTCCTTTGTGTGTCTATCCATTGGAGTGTGCTGCCTGCTGGATAGAAGTTCACATTCCATTAGAGTGAAGGGCTGTAGCAGGGGACAGCTATCAAACCAGCAGTATTGGAAAAACTGTGCATGTGTATGTACGTGTACTTGATTTTTGTGTGTGTGTGTGTGTGTGTGTGTGTTATCGCTGCTTAATGCCTTTAAATGTTTATGTGCATCTCTGTGTGCGTTTGTGTAGCAATGTATGGTGGTCTAACAGCCCCCGTCTATGACTAGCCCAAGGGGGGTTGTGGGTAATGAGGAAGTGACAGTGATGACTGCCTGGCAACCAGTTGCTATGCGGGGGCAGAGAGGGATCAGTCCCGACGGTAACATCAAGTAAAATGAAAGCAAGAAAGCAAAAAAAAAGAAGAAGAAGAAGAAAAAAAAGCAGTCACTAACTTCTGGGAGGTGAAAGCATCATAAGAGATAACGCCAGTACAAAGAGAAATGGCTGAAAACAAATCTGAATTCTCTGAGAGTGAAACTCTGACTTTTTCTTGCTAAGGTTTTGCTCACAATAATCACCACTGAAAGCTAACTCATATGAAAATGAAAGTATAATTTGAGCCAAGAGTTGTACCAAGATTAAGAGCCTCAACACTGCCATTGTTTAAATATTTTAGATTATGAAACAAAAAACATTTTACCACTCTAACCACAGCAAGACCACTTAGGCTGTGCAGAAATCCAAAGTTATTCAGCAAAGCAAAAGAGAAAAGCAGCCTTGGTTGAGGCCGTGTAGTTTTTCATCGACAAAAGCCACCTCTCTTGGCAAGACTGCTGTTGTCTTGGCTTTCTGACATCACACTTTAATCACTATCATATTGTCAGAAGTTGTAATTTGAGTAAACTGACCCTTTAAATGGCGATAAAAAAATGACCTTTACGTAAACATTCTGAGATTTTTTTCATTTACAGCTTTAGCTTCAGACCTCACTATAGTGAACGGGTGTCTTCAAGGAGCCGTGACATAACTAAACAAAGCTTTCGAGGATAACCAGCTTCAACCTTCAGTGATTCTTATAGGCTTTATTCAGAGAATAGGGCTTAACATTATCTCTGATGAAAGCTTAAAATATTCACCAGTGTCATCCTTGCTTAATAAACTTAAGGTATCACAGCAAAACTGACACTAATAAATGTTGATTTATGATACTCAAGCAACCCCACACTTAAGGATCAATACGATTTGCTGTTATACAAGTACGTTATGTAGATGTTTACACTTGTGTGCACCGCATACACAGACTGGATAGTATATTCATATTTTTGTGTGTGTGCAGCTCGTTCCATATGTGTGAGGCAAGCTGGTCAGACAGCAATAGTCACATGCACACTGTGTGTAGGCACGCATGTGGGTTTGTGAGACAGAGGGTGGACAGCCAAATGGATGACTGAGAGAAACAGAGGCTGAAGGTCGATTCATCAAACACAACACTGGGCGGAAGAGAGAGAAAAGGAGGAGAGGATAGATAGAGGAGAGCGAGAGGGAGAAGCGCATGGCGAGAGGCAAAGAATTCAGATAGAAAGGGAGTATTAAAGAAATGGGAGAGTGTGACTTTTATCTTATTTTAGTACCCTGAAACAACAGATGATTGGGTGGACTGTGACTCATTTTGCAAGTGGGTCTTAATATGGCACTCAGCCTGAAATCAGGGGAGTGATTAAACTTTGATTTAACTCTGTAATATAACAGGCAAGGGGGAGTGTTGAATATTGAATCCACTGCGGCACTTAAAGATGAAGCTCGCTACTCACAGCAGGCGAAGTGACTTGAGCCCATCGAAGGCATGGACAGGGATGCAGCGAATCTGGTTATAACTGAGGATTCTGTAAGACAAAGGACACAAACAAGGTCACAAGATTTAGCTCTACATCAGGAGGCTTTTTGGGGTTTTTTATTTGTTTGTTTGTTTTTTCAAAATATGAAAAGATTATTCAAGAGATGACACAGTAGGTTTGGTTTTTATAAAAACTTGGTACAGAACCTTTTGCCACTGAAGGCTGGACAATGAAAATTAACACCAGGGGCACATTTCAAATACATTAGAAAAAAATAGTTAAAGATAAAAACACCTGCCAGAGGCAAAGGTCAAAGAAGAGTCTGGAAAGTCAAACTCCCACACCACAGTTAAATGTAATTTCTTTTAAAACTGCTAATGAATCCAAATTTGAGTTTGGCAACAAATGACAGATAATGAAGCGTCCCTTAAGGATGCTACTATTATTTGAACACAATATCATGGTGGCTAATAATGATCCTAATGTAATAAACAGACACTATCTGAGATGTATATTCACGAAAATAGCAGCCAAGGTAGTAGCCAAGATTATTCCTCAGCATAATGCTCAATGAAGCAATGCCTAATGATAATTACTGACTGTCAAGAAGCTTAATCCTCATCTTCTCTGTTTCACCGGTGGCCTGGACCCATTGAGAAAAGATCCCAACAGCCAAGAATAATGAATCCTGGAAAATCTGATGTGGAAAGTGAAACACGCCTCTCTGCCGCTACCTTCAAATCTTCCCTAGGTGTGACTGAGCTGTGCACAGGATTTGTATCTGGTGCTATCTAGGCGCAGAGAGTAGAAATCTGTAGTTGCAGGACGTAGCTTGGAGGCGTGAATCAATGTGACTTTATGAAATATGAAACAGGGCGTTGCTGGAAAAAAAAGTAAGTTGATATATAGCCATTGTGTTTATAGATTCTTTGCTTAAAAAGAAAGGCAAAACTAAAGTTAATTCCATAAATTAAAAGAATAATTTATGTAACTTTGTGAAAATTCCTGCAGAGGTAAAAAACAAAAATAGAAAAAAACAGAGGGAGATGGGATAAAAGCAGGAAGAGGAGCCAACATTTCAACAGGATAAATTTTAAAATTTTAAAAAGGAAAATATTTTAAATATGAAAAATGCATTGGGGCAAAAAAGAACATATCATATGTGTATGTTAGAATAGAAATAAAGGAAAAAGAAGATACAAGAGGAGGCTGAGATGAGTGGATGGGGGTGGGGGGTGAAGAAGCGAAAAACCTTAAACGAGAGACTGGAAAATGAAAACAAGGACGAAGAGAAATTAGGAGGAAGACAAAAGTATGGAAAGAGAAAAAAATTATGTGTACATGTGTACATGTGCATGCACATGTACACATGTACAGGTTTATGCATCAATAGGTACATATGTTGCCATGGTAACTTACAGTGTGGCTAGTTGAGTCATGTTGTTAAAGGTGTATGGGGCCAAAGCACTGATGCTGTTGTTGCTCAGGTCCCTGTGTCGACAGAAACTTACATGAGGGACCCATACAAACACATACTGCATGCATCCATATTGGTTTCGTAAACTGGAAAATGATGTGGCATATGTGCATTCTGTTCAAGGTTATGTGAGAGGTACATACACCAGCGACAGCTGTTTCAGGTTTGCCAGCTCCTTGGGCACAGATGTCAGCATATTACCCTCCAAGTAACTGCAAGAAAAAAGTGCATACTTAGTATAGTATTTATTACATACACAAATACAGCCATGTGGAGGGGTGAGTTGATGCCAAGGGAGCAAGTAAAAGTTTTGGATTAGTAACTTGTGTCTCATCAACAGTGTGGAATGACACAGAAAGCAGACAAGAAGAGAAGGGTATACGTTTGTGCTGTTGGTAAGAAGAGTGAATGAATGAGATGCATAACAACCAGCATAACAGGAATGGAGCTTCTTGCATCCACTAGCTTTGACTGTGAAGAAAACAGAAGAACTCATTTAAAACTGGCCACCTCCCATTTATCTCCCATTAGGTTATTTGGTGACTGGCTGTAGGTGTAAATGTGAGTATGAATGGTTGTCTGTCTTTGTCAAAGTCTCCGTGACCCTGAATTGAACAAGCAATTAAGGAAATGGATAAATGGACATCACACGTTCAAGGTTGTGTGGCTGTGCACTTCTGGGCCACTCCACAGACATTCCTTTCAGATCATTTGCACATGTACGTTTGCGATTTCCTTATGGACCACAAGCTTCTACAGACAGCACACATTAGCATCTGTGTCAAACTGACCCAATCTTCATGTAGACTGAGAGAAAAAAAAGAGTTTTCAATGGAAGGATCTGCAACAACCAAGCCAGAAGTTGCCACATCAGGTCGAGAGCTTGACAGTTGGGTTTTTTTTGTGTGTGTGTGTGTTTATGATCTGTTTTTGTTTTGTTTTTTGTCTCCCAGGGCTAATCTGTCAAGAGGTGTACTGTAATGTCCTGGGGTGTTATTAGAGAGAGAACATTAGCCAACATGTGCCGGTACGTAGCAAATAAAAAAGGGAATTTTTGGCCACACTAAAAGATTCTTTATTCAATAGCATCCCTGTTCATTAGAACACCTTCACGTGTACTTCTCTTTCCTGGAGGAGGACACAAATGCAGGTGATCAGAAGGGGAATTCCACATAGTGAATTAAAAAGGCAGCAGCCACTCTAGAAGGGGTGCAGTGCTTACGTGGGGTAGTGCTTTGAACGGGGAGATGGTCAAATTTAAATGACTGTGATGCTGTTATAGTGTTGGGTTGCTGAGCTCTATAATTGCATCTTAATGATGTCTGTGTTTTTACTATGTTTAAAGGGAAGAAAAAGGGGAAACACTGTTACATTATGTTATATGAGCAAAGTTCTGTGTTAGACATACAGAGAATTTTCACATTCGGGCGTTTCTTTCTTGCTTTCTAATATTGTGAGAAACAAAATAAAGGTATACACACAAGCATACACATATTTTATGATGCATTGGTCTCTGTTTGTCTCTCTCAGGTCATAAGTAGGTCATGTGGACAGTATGATGGAGTGTCTTCTTCAGCCTGATCAATACCTAATCACTGCTATTGACCCTGTGGAGCAGGCCTATTTCACAGCTAGAGGGGTTCCTCTGTGGTTGTGCATGAGCATGTACGTGTGTGCAATAATTCACCATTACTTTGTTCCTACTTCTTTTTAAATTTCCTAATCATAATTAACATTAAGCCTTGTTTTATCTTTGATGATTAAGAATGTCTCTTTATTACAAGGATTCCTGATAGCTTGAAATTAATGAAAGATATAGAGCAATTCTCTTGAAGCACCAATTTAATCATAAAGCAAACAAACAATTATTCATATTTTTTACATTATTTCTACAAAAGATTATTTATTTTTTTTAAATGGACATTTTATTGAGGTTAATGACTCTGATTTCACCTAATTATTATAGGAAACAGCATGAAAAATAGTCACTGCTCTGGTGAAATTTGATATGAGAGAAAAATGTGTATTGAAGCAATTGACACTGTAGCATTAAAACTAGTTATAAAGCAATTTTTAAGATGGTATCATGATAATACCTCTCAACTATATAAGATCCTACTGTGTAGTGGTAGTTAGATTTAATAACTGGGTTGCTTCATAGATTTGTAACATCAGCATGTAATTATATACAAGCACAAGTACGTCTACTGTATACCTAAAATCCTAAAGACACAAAAAGAAAGAAAGCAGGAGCATGTGCGTAATTCACTAATTGCTATGCTAGTTTCTGAAGCAGGAGAGCAAACTGCAGCATCACTAATGCACTGCAGCAAAGTGGGACTATATGTGTTTATGGAACTTTTGCATGCTATTTGACGGCATACAATTTTTTCTGTGACTGTATATGCATGCTATAATTGATGTCTGTTTCTGAATGTTTGAGTATGCACATTCATGTAGTGAAGCTTGTGTATGCATGTGTGTGTGTGTTACAGTGCAAGCAAGCCTGTCTCACAGCTCAGTGGTGTCCTTGGGAATGCCCTTGGGCAGAGAGTGCAGCCCTCTGTTGCTGCATCGCACCACGCCGTCTGAGCACGTGCAGACATCAGGACAACCAGACGCAGGAAGGCAACCATTATCCTCAGCACCTGGAGAGAGGGGAGTAGAGAGAGTAGGATATTAGCATGAGGAGGAGGAGGAGGAGGAGGAGGAGATAGATGGATAAATAGAGGTGCAGAGAAAAAACAACAAAGAGAGGAAAAGGGAGGAAAAAAACAGCTTTCGAAAAAAAGTTAGGACAAAACAGGGAGAGAGAAAGAGCTAAGAGAGAAAAAGGGACAGATAGAGGTACAGCTTGAACAATAAGTAAGACACTTGCTCAAATCAACTAAGCGCTTTTTAGAAGTACTCAGACCAGATATTGCTAAAAGCTATATAGATGTATTTCAACATATGGCTCAGCACATGCAGCTGGGGCACAGAGATTTTAAAAATCCTCAGATGATTCAGGAAACCAACAAACCAAAAAACCCCAAAACTGAGCAGATGTTTTGGGGGTTGAAAGGATGACAGGCAGTTGCAGCAATAAAATGAAAGCTGAAACCTCTATAGTCAGTTTTAACTAACTTGCATGTGAATATTCTCCAATTAAAATTTTATATTTTTATTTATGCAAAAAGTCACACATTAAATTTTTAATCCTTGTAATTACATTTTCTTTTAGCTTCAAGAATTTTGTTACTTCCCAAAATTTCTTGAGGCACTTTTTAGCCTTGCTGTCAAAGTATTTAGCACAAAACGTTGTAAGGTTTAAGTTCCGAGCATTCCACACACAGGCACAATAACACACAGTAGGGACAAAAAAACATCTGAGTGATTGTAATAATTTTACCATTAAGCGATAAAGAAGGTCAGAAACTAGAGCAGAGGGTTGTTCTTGGCTTGAAATGCTCCCATTTCCTTGACTGGCATGTAAAGCTCACAGCTTTTATCTAGCAAAGCAGTATGTAAATAGTTGAACTGTGGTCCCAAATGTAAAACAAGCCGAGTTAAAACCATAATAAAGGATAATGAGGAGCAGACATAAAGCCAATCACAACACAACTTGCAATCTCAATATGTGTGTGTGCTTGAGTACTGGAGAGAGCAGTAGGAACAGTAAAAAGGAAGGCCTAGTTTACACGCATGTACAGTTTGCTGCTGATTGAATGAATTCAATGCTGATTTAATACTCGCACGTGTTTAAATGCTTGTGCATCTACATCCTGATTTTGCTGCACATTTAGTTTCCTAAATAGCTGCCTCCCCCTGTCCTACGGCCATTTTCCCATTCACTTTGTAGTGTTCTAATTGCGCTAATGTCTAAATGTCAAGTAAATGGGCGCTTACGTGCCAGTGAGTAGAGCAGTGCATGCATGTGTATCTGCGTGTCTAATCTGATGTGTGTACCTTGTGAGTCCACGGGGAGGTGTAGCCGTGGGCTGACTCACTCTACAGTTGGCTGATTGAACTAACATCTAAATGTGCGCTAAATATCTTCTCACAAATTCAATTAACTTTACCTTTCCCCCGGCTCCCTCTGGACACCTTAACAGCCATTTTACTCAACTATAAATAGACTGGACATGGGACCTTGGTTCACGGCGTGCTCGTGTGTAAGTATGTGTGCCCCTTTGTTTCTGGTCTTCTGTGAACCGCTTTGAGAATTACACTTTCAAGTGTAACGTTTTAGCATCACCAAGAGGTTATGCTTAATAGTCTGGACACCTGGCAGGCAGGGAGGATGCCTTCAAACCTCTGTGAGCTGATTGGCCTTGAGCCAAAGAACAACTCACTTGAAGCTGGTAATGATCTAGATCCAAGATTGTGACTATCTCAACCTAAAATGCAATAAAGAGATGTCATTTAATCAAATTCTACATTTTAACAGTTAATTACCATTTTGCATGAAAGAGTTCTACTAGAGCTGCCACTTTAGAATGAATTGAGATACATTTTGAGAATTGCAAGGATACGAGGACATGAATTCATGTTTGTGCAGCTCAGTGAATGTTGATGCAGCTTTGTGTGTGTGTGTGTGTGCGTCCGTGTGCGTGCGTGTGTGTGTGTGCAAGATGCAACAGTGAATATCAAGATCTGATAACATCTTAGAGTTTCCTTACTTGAACCAATCCAGCTAACGACTTTCCAAACTCATTTTCAGTAAATGGCTGCAGCACAGCTACAGGAAATTAGAAAAGTGTAATGAATTTAAAATAAAACTGAGGAGGGACAGAGAGGCACTACCAGATAGAAAGAGAGCAAAAGGGCGATCGAAAAAAGTTTAAAGTGTAAAAGCTACACAGAAAGCAAAGAAGGGAAAATAAAGACAAATGTAATAAACGCGAGAGCCAAACCACACTTTGTATATGGCGTCAAAGTTGGCGGCCAAGCCGACAGCCTAAGTTGCTATAGGCAGGCATCGTCGTGGTAACAACAACGTCACTGTAGCAACCACAAGCTGATGTCATCTGAGGCTGCTGTATGCCAGTGGTTACTGATCGTTCTGTCCTCACAATACCCTACTGAAGTGAGACCGAAGGCATGAAATGACAGAGTATCTGGTAATTTTGTTAAATCTGGATCACTGATGTTAAAACCAAATCTATTCCCATCCAAATCAGAAGGTTTGCGCATATCTGAGGATTTTGTGATGTGAATATAGATCCAAAGAACAATGCGTTTTGGTAGCAGTAGGCTTAGTCTGTGCTGTGATTAGGACTCGAGGGGGAGTGAGGTCAGACATCAGTTGATACGCTGTGGACAATCCTTGAATGTAGTGCTAATTAAGTGCCACGTATATGTGATCATCTGTGTTCTCACTTTTTGTTTTTAGTGGTTTAAATTTAAAGTTAAGATTTGAACAGCGCTACAAATTGGACGACTCATTACACAACACACAAGTGTTTTATTGTTATTTTCCTTGCCCAAATACATATTTGACATTATTACTGAATAAACAATTTTCCTATGTAGGGTTTTAAAAGTCAGGAAGCCCCTCAGTTATTACTAGTACGATTCAAGGACACATTCAGTTCACCTTTCAGTTGCTTCACTCATCCTTTTATCTGCACAGGACACACAGCCGCTGACTGACACATGTCATTTATTTCAGGTTTAAGGCTGTGACCTTTTTGTTTTCCACACACTTTGGTGTATCAGTTGTAACATCCTGTGTGGCCGACCAAACCAAACACCAAGAACTGTGGTTTTAATTCTACTTAACTAAAACAAAAACAAATACTTGGCTTATTGGCAAAGAATGGAAAATAGAAAGTCTCACCATCGCATGTAAAGTCTGGGGTAGCCACATCCTGGATAGGAATCTCCTTCAGGAAGGCTGGCTTCTGACAGCGGGGATTTCCACTCACCACCCTGGTCTTCTTTAGCCATTGACCCAGCCAGGCCAAGTGACAATCACACACATATGGGTTGGACAGAAGATTACTAAGGAAATAATAAAGGACAGATGAGAGCAAGAGAGAAGAGGAAGGAAATAAATGAATCAGGGTAAGTTTAAATCCTACCGCACAAAGTTACATAACATCCATTCTTACAATATAAGGTATTTATCATCACAAACATTTTCCTCGACTTTGCATCCAGACAACTCGCACACCCCAAATTAGACCGTAACATACAAGCAGCACAACAAAACGACAGCGAGAAGAGCAACGAGGACAAAACAGACTTTGTTCTGAATTTATTTTGGAAGCCGTTCAGAGGGATAATAATGGCAGTGCTTTATATGGTATTTTGGTGAGTGATACATTTGAATAAATTTAGATAGAAGACAAAGCAAGCCACGGGCTAAAGGGGAAGGGGAAAGGAATGAGGAAAGGTTATCGGCTGTTTTTATTCATTTGGCAAAGAACAAGGGAGATGGAGAGAGAAAAGGAAAAAGTGGCAGATTGAGAAACAGGGAAAAAGAGAAAGAAAAGAGAAAAGGTTATCTGCTCATTTTATTCATTTTTGATCACCACCTCTCTCTGCATTTTGTTGCTTTTGTAACACAGTTCATGTAATATTTATGCTGAGCCATATTTAAACTGAAAAGGGTGGAAAGGACGCGTTAGCAACACATACGAGACAGGCAGCATCCCTAAACCAAAGCTGCTCTGGGCATCTAAAATCTTGTGGCACATTCAAGTTGTAGGTTTGTTGTGGCTTTTTACAATTATTAGTATAGTTAAACGTTCATTCTTAAATGTGTGACCAATGTGTTGAATGCAAACATTAAAGGTAAGAACAAATCCTGGCACTCATCTAATATTTGTGGGCAACTTTGTAACAGATGAAGCTTGACAATGTTGCTGTCTGATTTTGTTTTGGCCCCTGGCATCTTCTTCTCAGCTCGCTGCCAGTGATTTAGATTCAACAACGTTCAGCAATGTCTTTCAGAAATATCAACAGTGAGCTACACAGAAAAAGAGATTTAAGGATGCTGTTACAGAAGGTAGTGTACCTGAGAAAATTTAAGGAAACAGTTCTGTGAAGTATAACCATTGGTATAGTGGAAAGTCCCCATGTTGTGTCTAAAGATGTGCAAGTGTCACATTGCTGTTCACGTTGTCCTCTGCTAAACTAATAAACCTAAATGCTGCTATATGTGCTATAATATTAATGGGGTGCTGCCACAGATAGGGACAAGTTATTTACTCATTTCCTTGTAATGAATTGACCTCACTGCATGGCAACTAAACCTAAGCTAAATCCCTTCCTTCCCTTTCAGCGTGTTAATCTTTTAATTACATGGACAAACTCTATAGGGAAACGAAGCACTAAGAATGGAGACAGATATTCGAAAGAGCAGGAGTGAGAGAGAAATCGAGGAAAGATAGGAGGGAATGAACAGAGGGTCTAGAAATAAAAACTATCCATCTTTCTTTCATGCCAGACAGCAAGCAGATGTTTGAATACAAATCAAGTGTTACTACAAAGCCAGTGAAAAACACGCTGAAACAAAGAATGAATGTGTCAAAGGATGAATGAAATTTGATATCTTATAATTATTAACACCGAGAGACTCTGACTTTATGCAACAATAAATATATCTGTCCTCATCCTCTGTGTCCACATTTTCCCTTTCATGTCTTCCATCGTTGTTCCCAAAAGAGTCAGGCAGGAACTTGAATCAGAGATGACAGGTACACAGCAGGACAGAGAGCAAGAACAAAAGGTGGAACAAGGGAAGGAAGCACAGAGAGAAATAAAGACAGCAGAGAGGATGTGAGTAGACTTTTTTTTTTTTGCAAAGTCTGTCTACCTTGTGAGGAATAAAAGAATCAACCTTTCATGTTTTATTAAGCTGATAAAATCTATTATTTACAACATGGGTGGTCAAGTGATTGAAGAAAAAACACTCATTCACTTCTCAGGCTTCCCAGTCTCTTTGTCCTAAGAAAAATGGTAGGTGGACGGTTAGTGCGTATCATAGTTTTATTGGATTAGAGTTATTATCTGCAGTTCTGTGTAAAGACTTAACACCAATCAGCATCACACAAATTAAAGCATGCTTGAAAAAAAACATGCACCAAGCAGATAAACGAATAAACGAATACACCGATTCTAGAATTCACGTCTTGTCGTAGCAGTTGTGAATCTTTGGGAAGATAACAGCAAGCTTGCAATCGGTCTTGTGTGCCAATGTGGGTGTGGGTGTGCAGATGCTGAAAAATATTTAGCTTTGATAACAAATGCCCCGGGATTCAGACCAATCTAGTCGATAATGATGGAGAGCATCTGTGAGGAGAATAGTGTCCAGAGAACAACATGTGTGCAAACGTTGGGGCGGGAATGTGTGTGTATTGCTTGGAAGACAACTCCCACAGCAAGGCTATGAAAAATTAGGGGATAGAGGAAGATAGTGAGAGACAAACAAGCAGTGAGATTGGAAGACAGACACAAACAGATAGTGACACAAAGTGAGAGATGGGATAAATGATGGGATGGAAATGAAAAAGCAAAACAGGAAAATGAGCGACAAAAAGGAGAAGAAATTGTGACGGATGTGGCTTACATGGTGGACAGGGAGTGCAAGGTGGAGAATGATCCCGGGGCGATGCTGGAGATCCTGTTGTCATACAGTGACAGCAGACGGACGGAGCTCAGACCTGTAAAGGTACTGTTGTCAATACAGCTGATCTGGTTGCTCCGTAGCATGCTGGAAACACAAATACAATAGATTAATAAATGAAAGCAAACACAATACTTACTATTGGCTCTTTTTCACTGTCTATGTCACAAACTACATTAAAGTCAAGGCTTAGAATAATCCAGCGTTTCACATTTCTAACCTACTTAATATGAAGTTTTGAGTTTTAAAAAAATGTACTAATAAAATAAGGAAGGCTAGATAAAAAGAGACAGCCCAGCGAGATAAACGAATACAACCTATAATGACATGGACAAAAGATAAAAGAGAAAGGAGTGAATTTAAACCAGTCCCTATAGGACAGCCGTGGCAGACTCTGTAATATGACATTAGCCTTTGACATACAGTCATGTGGGATCATGCTAAGTGAGTTAGTTAGCATTAGCAATCTCTGGGACAAGCTAACCTAGTTAGCAAGGCTATTACTGGAGCAGGGAGCCCTCTTTACATAATACAGAGACAGCCATGATACCATTAGAGAGTCATTAGGCAGCATATATATACATGATAAGATTAGCTAGTCATTACTGAGTATACACAGACAACATTAGTTCGTGATTTTATACACTACCCTGTAACCCCTAATTGGACACTAGGCTCTTTAAAGTGGGTGTCCAAATTGGAGGAACAACAATATGCTGTCATTAGCCTTAATTTCAATGTAAGTGAGTAAACAATGCTTTCTTTTTTAGACCGGGGAAGAAAAACACACTACTATGTCAGGTGCTAATACAAACTGTACTCTGTTAAGTCTTTGACAACAAGCTAGTACTGATGTTATACAAAGAAAAACAAGGAAACAAATAAATAAAGACCTGACTGATCTTATAAAAGAAGAATAGCCTTTTTTTAGACATGCTCTCAGAGACCAAATCTTTTTAAATATCTTTAGAGATCAAGATGAAGCAGTGGAGTATAATGGACTTTAAAAGCCAAGAATAAATGTAGTTATATAAATAAAGTAAAAAAAAAACCAAAACGTTCATATTGTCTTCTGAGGGTAATATGAATAACAGGGCTGCGTTGATTAGAGTGAATAATTGATTCAAAAGATTTGACAAATTTAAAATAAACAGGACTGACCTTAAAAAATGTCATTTGAGTGGGATCTTGAACTCAAAATAACACTTTTGAACCACATTTTCAACAATTAGGTTTACATATTTTTTTCAGAACAGGTGTCATTTACACAAAAACTGCATTCAAGCATGCTGTGCATAGATTATTTTCACATGGGTTGGGCTGCAACTGTAGAATGGGCCCTTGTGTTCAGTGGTGTTCAATTATTTGCCTACATCCTAGCATAAAATCAATTACTTTCACTTCCATTATCCTAAACCTATTCTAACTTTCAAATGAAATTTCTGTAAGTCTTATTACACAACAAGTACACACATATACACTGCTGTGAACTATACTTACAGGGTTTTCAGGCCACTGAGGCCTCTGAACATGCGTCCCTGCAATCCGGTCAGCTTGTTCCCCGTTAGCAGCAGCTCCAAAACTCCACCTGCTCCATCAAATGCCCCTTCACGGATGTCTTTCAGTTTGTTGTTGCTCAGGTTGCTGCAGGAGAGATCACACAACATTCATAGCATTTTTACTTTTGTATTTAGATATTTTACCTGTACATGTTTGCTTGAGCCATCATGCATGTTTTTCTAACACAACCGACAGCAGCAACAAGATAATGGAAATGCAGGCGCGCAGCATTTTGAAGACACAGACATGCATGCAAAGCATTCCCAGTTTAATTGCAGTAATTAATCATGTCCCTTCAACTAATAAATGTTAACCTTCTTTTCTTTCATCTTAATATCCTTCTCTTAGACATTAGATATTCAGATAACAGAGCCTGCCATCACTATATCTGATAAAAAAACACCAAGCATGTTCAAATAAAACTAAAAGAACAAAGTGGTACAAACCAGTTAAAAATGGCTTCTTTCTCTCTTTCATGGACACAATAAAAGAAATGAAAAGGACGAGTGCTTGGCCTCAAAGACAATAATTGGGGATGATAGCTATCACACATACTGTAGTCTTCATTCATAGGTCAATTGTGTTTCCTATTATCGGGTTTACTGAAGATGAGAGAAGGTGGAGGATGAGACTGGAAAGACAGGTTTAAAAAAACGTATAAAATAAAAACAAAAAAATGTGATAGCAAATGTAAGGATAACAGAAAATGTGAGGTAAGGTGAGGAGAAGCGAGGAAAGGAGGATAGGAGGAAGGAATTGAGAGAAGGAAAATGGAAATGAGAGCTCGCCAATCTATATTGTCAGTGACACTGCTAGATGGTTAGCAATTTCCTCTCCAATAAATCAACTTCTGGTCTCTGCTCTGTCTTTCTCTATCTCTCCCTAACACACACACACACACACACACACACACACACACACACACACACACACACACACACACACACACACGAGCACAAACCTAGAGTAGTTTGTAGATAAGAACTGACTGTAAATCTGAACGAAGGCCCATCTTCTATTTCCATTTCATATTTGCTTCCTGCATACCTCCAATCCACCCTTCCCTTTTCTCCATCTCTGTGTTCCTCCCATCCTCTTGCCTGTGCTCAGTCGATCTTCTTCCGGTATCTCTTCTATTTTACTTTCCTCTTTTCCTTTTTTCTTTTTTCTTCTTTCATTTTTCTCTTCAGTTTTACTTTTGGCTTCCAGTTTCATTCTCTTTCTCGCATCTTTATAACACCTGCTTATTTCTGTCATGAATACGGAATCAATCTCATCACTTATTATCAAAATAAAGAGTAAAAAAAGAAAGCCAAAGCCTACTGTATTCTCTTCAGATAAATAATACCTCCATTTTCTATGCCAGGTCCACTTTACATACTTTTTAGAGGAGTAAGACATTACTGGACTTATACATAATACAATATTAAATATATTAAATTAAATATTAAAACCTTTGAAACATATAATGGAAGTGCTTCTTTTAAAAAAAAAAAATATATATATATATACTTACATTTTTCTCAAATTTGGCAGCTTCTTAAAAATCCCTGTAGCCTCCAGTACAGCAATCTCATTGTCGTTTAACCGCCTACAGAGAGGAAGATGGAGAAAGGGAGTTAGATGTTTATTCTTTCATGAAACAAACTGCTTTAGTGCACACAAGTGAATTTCTACATACACAGAGAAAAAACAGGCAAAAACAGGCAGAAAATAAGGGTGGGATGGCCACATGTAAGTTGAGAGGACTTCAGAGACTTTGCAAATATGATGCAACACAAAACAACACAGGGATGAAAAAAGAAAATCAGAAGAGAAGAGAAGAGAAGAGAAGAGCAATGAATCTTTTATATGTAGTCATCAATAGCCACACTGCCCTAAGCCAAGAGAAAACAGTTTGAGAGATAGGAAGCTAGACATCTGGTTTATTGAGGTAATTTGTACTAAAAGGGTGCTGCTAAAAGGATGCACTTTGTGTACGTGTATGTGTGAAAGCAGCAGAGCAAGAAAAATCCACGAAAGAAAGTGAAAGTTCAGCTCAAGGGGACAATTTGTAACGAGATATGAGGGGGTTCAAAGATGGATTGGCCTGGATAAACACAGACTGAAATAATACACTGAAAAGCCTGAAGTAGGTTCTGATGGTAGGAGAATGATGCCTCTTTTATTGCTGCGTTTATTTGCATATTTTGACAGTATCAAAAACACATCTGATCTCTTCATCATCTGATCTGGCCCCAATGTGGCCTGACAACGTACAGCACATTTAATAAAGTGCCTATAATTCTCATAAGACTGATGTCATACTTATTAAATGCTCCCAAGGCCAATGTCAATGATTTTTATGGCTAGCAGAAAGAGTCCCAAAGACAGACAGACGAGACAAAGAGAGCAAAAAGTATATAAGCCCTCAGCTGAACCACAGCCTCCCCTGATTTCCCCTGATAAGGCAGGTTACAGGCCATGGACTGACAGCTTGTGTGTTTGTTTCTGTGTGCTCACGATTGTGGCCTTCAGAAAATACTGGGTGGTTGTGTTCTTAAGGAAAAGGAAGGCTAGAGAGAGAAAAGGTGTAGAAAATACTAGAAACTCTGATGTGCCCTCTAACCAACCATAAAGGACAAAGTATACATTTCTGACATGACGTACCCTGGGGACGGATAGGGAGAAAAGGAGGGAGGATTGGCGAGGTTCACAGTGAGAAAAAGAACCAAAGAGAGAAAGAGAGACGGATAAATTGGGGGCTAATGGTCTGTGTAGTGCTGGCATTATTAGTTATCTAAAGTGGCAGCTGTGGCTGAATTCACCATCATACAACTAACCTCCATAAGTAATACTGTGACAACCATCCTGTGTGTGCCTTAATGCTGTAGTATCCCCATCCCCTGAAGCTTTTCTACATTACTATCTCACTGATAACCATAGCAGAAGCTCTCCATCCTTCTCCTGCATTTTAAAGCTGCAGGTGATTTAGCATTATTAGGTAAAACTTTTTTTTCTGTCTGGATTCCAATTTCCTCTTTCCTTAACTTACTGAATGTGTGATTAAGATTAGTCAAGGTGCTGAAAGTAAAATGAGCTGTTTTTAGCACAACACTTTTTTCTCGTGTTCTGAATCAAAAGTCAAAGATTGGCATGTATTTTATCGCTTAAAAGCGGTGGGTTTTTTTTCAAATCACATCATTATGTTTTATGTTAATTTTGCTATTTTTTCCCTGACAATCTCTATTAAATTACTTAACCTTTCTCTCTGAAGAGATAGTGCAAGC